GACAGTAAGGGGGTTGAATAACTGGTCAGAAGGAGATTAGAGGGGTCCTTTTGCTAGTACTGAGGCAGAACTCTGTTGCTTTGCCCATATGTAGTTTGCAGTCCTGGGTGGCAATACCAGGGCAAGAAGGAGCACTAGCATAATAGAGCTTGTGGCCACAGTGGAGGGGAGAACCCTTCTCACAGTTCCAGGACAGGAAAGAGTGCTTGTGGTCACTCACAGACCAAATCACAGGCCAGGAAATGAGTAGACACACTTGTCCTTAGATCATACCACCTTGGAAGAACTGAAAACTTACAGGTTTCAGAAGTATCTCTGAAAACAGCTGCACAAAACCTTGAAGTTTGGGACAGTGTGCCTTCCTACTTTAACAAAGAGTTCAAAGTCAACTAATAGGTTGGAAAATGAACAAACAATGGGAAAAAAACTCTGACTATAGAAAGTTACTATGGTGACAAGGAAGATCAAAACACACACTCAGAAGAAGACAACAAAGTCAAAACTCCTACATCCAAAGCCTCTAAGAAAAATATGAATTGGTCTAAGGCCATGAAGAGCTTAAAAAGAATTTTGAAAATCAAATAAAAGTAGAGGAAAAATTGGGAAGAGAAATGACAGTGATGCAAAAAAAATCATGAAAAATAAGTCAACAGCTTGGTAAAGGAGACACAAAAAATTATTGAAGAAAATAGCACCTTAAAAAACAGACTAGGCCAAATGGAAAAGGAGGGTCAAAAGCTCATTGAAGAAAATTATTCCTTAAAAATTAGAATGGAGCCAATGGAAGCTGATGACTTTATGAGAAATGAAGAAACAATAAAATGAAACCAAAAGAATGAAAAAAAAAATAGAAGACAGTGTGAAACATCTTAATGGAATAACAACTGACCTGGAAAATAGAGCTAGGAGAGACAATGTAAAATTTATTGCACTTCCTGAAAACCATGATAAAAAAAGAGCCTGCATATCATCTTTCAAGAAATTATTAAAGAAAATGGCCCTGATATTCTAGAACCAGAAGGTAAAACAGAAATTGAAAGAATCCACAGATCACCTCCTGAAAGAGATCACAAAGTGAAAACTCCCAGGAATATTAGAGCCAAATGCCAGAGTTCCCAGGTCAAGGAGAAAATATTGTAAGCACCTAAGAAGAAACAATTCAAGAATCATGTAGCCACAGTCGGAATAGCACAAGATTTATCAGCTTCTACATTAAAGGATTGGAGGGCTTGTAATATGATATTCTGGAGGGCAAAGGAGCTAGGATTGCAACCAAGAATCACCTACCCAGCAAAACTGACTATAATCCTTCAGGGGGGAAAATGGTTATTAAATGAGATAGAGGACTTTCAGGCATTCTTGATGAAAAGACCAGAGCTGAATAGAAAATTTGACTTTCAAATACAACACTCAAGAGAAGCATAAAAAGGTAAACAGAAAGGGAAAATCATAAGGGATTTAATAAGGTTAAATTGTTTATATTTCTACATGGGAAGATGATATTTGTAACTCATAAGACATTTCTCATTATTAGGGTAGTCAGGAGTATATATAGACATAGGGTGTATGAGTGAGCTAAATATGAAGGAATGATATCTAAAAAATAAAATTAAGAGGTGAGAGAGAAGAATGTACTGGGAGAAAGAGAAAGGGAGAGGTAGAATGGGGTAAATTATCTCACATAAAAGAGGCAAGAAAAAGCTTTTACAGTGGAGGGAAAGAGGAAGAAGGTGGGGGGGGAGTGAGTGAACCTTACTCCCATGAGAATTGGCTCAAAGAGGAAATAACATACACACTCAATTGAGTATAGAAATCTATCTTACCCTTGTAAGATAAGGAATACCTACCAGAAGGAATTCTGCTGCCACAGATATTGACAAATGAGGAATTTGTTAAAGAATTGTATGTTAGTAGACAAGCATACCCTGTTTTACAAGATTGATGGTCAGGGCCCCTAGCTTCAAAGAACAAGAGGGTCTGAGAACGTGCAAAACAGCTCAAACTCAAGGGTTCAGGCCCTGGTCACCAAGTCATGACTACTATGCATGCTTCATTGGCTTCATTAATATTAACTGACACACACATGCACAGATTATCCCTCCATTTTCTGAACATGGGTCACTTGACCAGGGAGGGAGAGCATGTCAAGGAAGACATGAAGTGAGAGTATCAAGGAGCTTGTAACCTGAAAGAATCTGGACCAATCCTGACTCTAGAGGAAGGAGTAGGACTGAACTAACCATATAAAGCTTGTTATGGCTTCTGTACAGTGTGCGTGTGTGTCCCTTTTCCTTGAGGGGGGAGGGAGAATACGGGAGGGGGAGTACTGCACACACAATTGCTTCTTGCAAGAATCGTAAATAAATAAACATCCCTTTGCTCACTTCAGTCTAAGTTCATTTCTTAAGGGAGGACAGAACTCCGCACGGTATGTTTCTACGAGATCAGTTAGTTGTGGCTACCCATTTGGGCTAAAACGCTAACCCTACCAAAGAGTGACTGAACCATGTTTCTCACACCCTACAGGAAAGTAGTAGGGAAAGGGGCTAAGAAAAAAGGTGTGTGTGTGATAGAAGGGAGGGCAGACTGTGGTAGGGGGTAGTCAGAACAAAACACTTCTGAGGAAGAACAGGGTAAAAGGAGAGAGAGAATAGAATAAATGGAGGTGGAATAGGATGAACGTAAATACAGTTAGCAATAGTAACTGTGAAAAAATTTTTGAAGCGAGTTTTTTTTCTGATAAAGGCCTCCTTTCTTAAATATCTAGAGACTGAATCAAATTTATAAAAATAAGAGCCATTCCCCAATGATAAATGATTAAAAATATGATCAGTTTTCAGATGATATAATCAAAGCTTTCTGTAGCCATATGTAAGAAATACTGTAACTCACTATTAATTGGAGAAATGCATATTAAAACAATTCTGAGGTACTACCTCATATCTATTAGATTGGCTAATAGAACAGAAAAGGTAAATGACAACTGGTGGAGGGGAGGTGGGAAATATGAGACCTTAATGCATTGTTAGTGGAGTTGTAAACTGATTCAACCATTCTGTAGAGCAATTTGGAACTATGCCCAAAGGGCTATAAAACCATGCATACCCTTTGCCCTAGAAAGACCACTATAGCGTCTATATCCCAAAAGAGATAAAAAAAAAAAGGAAAGGACCTACATGTACAAAAATAGTTATAGCAGCTTTTTTCTGGAAGCAAAGAATTAGAAATTGAGAGGATGACCACAAATTGGGGAATGATTGAATAAGTTGTGGTATGTAATTATGATGGAATACTATTGCACTATAAGAAATGATGAGCAGGATGCTCTCAGAAAAACTTGGAAAGACTTGCATAGGCTGATGCAAAGTGAAATGTACTGTGTACAAAGTAACAATATTGTAAGATGATCATTTGTGAATGACTTAGCTATTCTCAGCAATACAATGATCCACGACAACTCTTAAGGACTTATGATGAAAAATACTATCCATCCCCAGAGAAAGAACTGATGGTGTCTGAATACAGATTGAAGCATGCTTTTTAAATTTTCCTTATTTTTCTTAAAGTTTTTTTAGTCTGTTTTCTTTCACAACATGACTATTATGGATATGTTTTGCATAACTACACATGTATAATCTATATCAAATTCCTTGCCTTCTGAATGGGAAGGAGTGGGGAGGGAGGAAGGGGGAGAATTTGGAACTGAAGTTTTAAAAATGAATGTTAAAAATTGTTTTTACATGCAACTGGAGAAAAATAAAATATTAAAAATAAGATAAAATAAAATAACACCTCAGATCAAAATTTAGAGTGTTAGAGCCAACAAAAAGGTGTGAGACATTTTTTCTAGGGGGTGATGGGTAATGCTTGAACCTCACTTTCATCAAAATTGATTCAAAGAGGGCAAAATGTATGTACAAAAGCACTCAGTTGTGTATAGACATACAACTTATTCATAGGGAAATAGGAGGGGAAAGGGATAAGATAAAGGGGATGTGTATGATGAAAGGGAAGGTAGATTTAGGGAAGCAATTAAGATTAGAAGCAAAATAGGCTTTTGAGGACAGAAGGAGAGAGAGAGAGACAGAGAGAGAGAGAGAAAGAGAGAGAGAGAGAGAGAGAGAGAGAGAGAGAGAGAGAGAGAGAGAGAGAGAGAGAGAGAGAGAAGAAAATGGGAAGAAGGGAAATAGAGAGCTAAAAATCATACCTGTGAATTTGAATAGGATGAGCTCATCCATAAAATGGAAGCAAATAGCAGAATGTATTAGAAACCAGAATCCAACAATATGATGTTTACAAGAGACACACTTGAAACAGAAACTTACAGAAACTTAAAATAAAGGGCTGGAGCAGAATCTAATATGCTTTAGCTGAAGTAAAAAAAGACAGGACAGTGATCATGATCTCAGACAAAGCAAAAGCAAAAATAGACCTAATTAAAAGAGATAATGAGAGAAACTACAATATACTAAATGATACCATAGACCAGTGCTTCTTAAACTGTGGGTTGCAACCCTATATGGAGTCATGTCACTGAATGCGGGGGGGGGGGGTCAGAAAAATTTGGCAACAGTAAAAGGTTTCTGAATAAGCAATGACCAAAACTTAATTCAAAATCAAATGCATAATGAATCCAAGGTGCTTCTGGCACTGTTTGCCCATATGGTATCATGCAACTTCACTGCTGCATTGGCTCTAAACCCAAAACATGCACACTTTGCCCTGTGCATGCCATCATACCATGCAACACCCACAGAAGCTGCTAGAAACACCTTGGCTCAGATTCGAGACAATTGTATGTTATAAATTGCAGTATTTTTACTGTGCATACAAAATTTTCTGCTCTTCAGAAACATAATAGTTTAATTATGGAAAATAAATACTTTTGATATTTTCTTACCACCGTTCCTCACATATAAGTATCAGATTAGCATATTTTTGGATTGTGTTGTATTAGAATGTTTGATTTTTTAAATTGTTGTTATCTCTTCCTTTTACAGAAACATAAGTGTTTAATTGCAGCAAGTAAAGACAAAAGCCCTTTAATAAGATGTCTCCACCATCACTGCTTTGTGTGTATGTAAGTGTGAACATCAATTTTTTTAAAATTAAGCACAAGCAAATATAATTCCATAAACTAAATCTAGTATTTATTTGAGAAATTATTAGCAATATTTATTTATATTTTATGACAGATTTTTTTTTTGGTTATGGGTAAGTGGTTAAATTTAGACAGAAGAGGTAAAAATACTGATGACGGTACAACAGAGTCTTAGCTACGAAGCTGTAGTACACCTAAATTGCCAAGAGAAAGAAAATATATTGAATCATTTTTGCACTATGGATTTACTTCTAATAATGTTGATGGTGTTGAAAAACCGCTTTGCTTAATCTGTAATGAAGTTTTGGCTGCGGAGAGCATGAAACCAGCCAAGCTAAAATGACATCTTAATACCAAGCATGCAGTGTACTGCAATAAACCAAAGGAATATTTTGAAGGACTTTTAAAATCTTCAAATAAAAAACCCCACTGTTTTGAGAAATTTGTTACTGTCAATGAAAAGTATTTACTTGTAAATAAACAAGCAGATTCATCTCATTAGTATGCAAATTTGCTTTCATCTTTAATCAATGGTAAAATTATATATATATATATATATCAAAGAATTGTTTAAATTTAATTTCTTTATGATTTGTTATCAGCAAATGTTTGATTTGTATACCTATTTTATATACCTACATACTCGGGGTCACGTAAAAATTTCTCGGGCAAAAAGGGGTCATGAGTGGGAAAAGTTTAAGAAATCCTGCCACATACACAATGAAATAACATCAAAATTTTTTACAGCCAATCAAGGCCTCATTTCTCAACTATATATACTGAGTATAGAACTGAGTCAAAATTATAAAAATAAGAACCATTACCCAGTTGATAAATGGTCAAAGGACAGATACAGGTAGTTTTCAGACAAATCAAAGCTTTCTATAGTCATATGAAAAAATGTTCTACATCACTTATAGATTAGAGAAATGCAAATTAAAACAACTCTCAGGAACCACCTCATACCTCTCAGAAAAGACAAATGTTGTAGAGGATGAGGGAAAAATAACCATACTAATGAATTGCTGGTAGAGTAGTGAACTGGTCCAAACATTCTGGAGAACAATTTCGAATTATACCCAAAGGGCTATAATACTGTGCATACCCTTGCATATCCAGCAATATTTCCAAGTGTTCTGATGTATGTCTTGACACTGGACCCAGATGACTCTGGAGGAGAAAGTGAGGCTGGTGACTTGGCACAGCCCTGCCTCTCTTAAATCCAATTCACTTGCAAGTCATAACATCACCTTCCTGATGTCATTGATCCTCTTTGAGAATGAAGAACAAGCATCCACAACAACTGTACCCCAAAAAGATCAAAGAAAAAGGAAAAGGACCTATCTGTACAAACATATTTCTAGCAGCTCCTTTTGTGATGACAAAGAACTGGAAATTGAAGTTATACCCGTCAATTAGGGAATGGCTGAACAAGTTTTGGCATATGATTGTGATGGAGTTCTATTGTGCTATAAGAAATGACAAGGCAGGAGAGTAGTTTCGGGGGAAAAAATGCAAGACCTATATGAATTGATGCAAAGTAAAGTGAGAAGAATCAGGAAGTTATTATGTGCAGTAACAGCAATGTTGTAATAATGATCACAACTGTGAAAGACTTGGCTATTCTGATCAATACAATGACATGAGACAATTTGAAAGAAGTTATGATGGAAAAATTGCTATTCATCTCCAGAAAGGAAACTGATGAACTCTGAGTGCAAACTGAAGTTTATTTTCTTATTTTCTTTATTGTTTTTTTTAAAAAATGTGGCTAATACAGAAATATGCTTTGTATGATTTTACATGTATAATTAATATTATATTGTTTGCTTTTTCAGTGAGTGAGGGAAGGAGTGAGAGGGAGAAAATTTGGAACTCAAAATTTGAAAAGAAAAGGATGTTAAAATGAATAAATAATAAATTAAAATGTTAATTTTAAAAAGCAAGATCATCTCAAAAAGACAAATGATGACCTACAGCCTCAATATGAGTCAATAATGTAATATGGTATAACAAAAAGCTGGTATGACCTTAGGCTACTGTAAGGGAAGAAGTGTTCATAAGAAAGGAAGTGATCATCCCACTGTATTTTTTCCTGATCACATCACATGTGGAGAATTGTGTTCAATTTTAAGCAACAAATTTTAGGAAGGTTATATATAAACGGGAATACCCAGGGGAAGGCAACTAGTATGGAGAAGCTTGTTCAGTATGGGAATCCATTGCAGGAAGTGAGGAGAGAGAAAGCACAAAGGGGAAATGATAGTCATCTTCAATTATATGGAAAACTTTCTTGGAGAAAGGAACTAGACTTGTTCTACTTGGCCCCAGAGGGTAGAAATAGGAGCAAATAGATGGGCATTACAAAAAGGCAGATTGAAATTTGATATAAGGAAGAATAATTTTGTAACCATTAATACTATCTATAAGGAGAATGGGTAGCCTGGAAAGGCAGCAGTTTTCCTTTCATGGGAGATCTTCGGGTAAAGGCTAGATGACTACTTGACAGCTACATTTTAGAAGGTACTCTCTTTTCAGGGCAGCGAGGTGGTGCAATGGATAAAACTCTGAGCCTGGAGTTAAGAAGATCTGAGTTCAAATGAGGCTTCAGACCGTTGCTAGCTCTGTGATCCTGTTCAAGTCACTTCACTGTGTTTGCTTAGTTTCCTCATCTGTAAAATGAGCTGGAAAAGGAAATGGAAAACCACTCCAATATCTTTGCTAAGAAAATCCCAAATGGGGTCATGAAGAATCAGATACAGTTCAAAAACAACAATAACAAACATTATATTTTCAGATATGGGCTGTATTAGATGACTGCTGAGGTCTTTTCCAACTTTGAAATGCCATGATTTCTGTGATAGGTCAGGATGAAATGGCATGAGATCAGGAGAGCAGCCTTCTGATCCAAGCAAGAGGCAACAAGAACCACGCTTCTCTTATCTGCCTCTATAAACATAAATACAACGAAATAAATAATGGAATAACTTGCTTCCCTGGCAAATGAGAATCTACAGTCATAATTCCACACCGAAGATAGCAAATTCTAGAGGCGAATTGGCTTCTTGAACAATCTGAAATAAATTCCCCAGGATAATTACAGAACAGAGAAAATCCCATAAATTTGATTTAATTGACACCAGCAAAATGAAAATGTAAGAAGGAACATTCTTCTCCTGGAGCTCTTTGGGGGTATCTGGGTCCAGGAGCTGGAACCTTGGAATGATGGATAGTCATATCTGTAAAGATAGTCAGAAAGCCTCAGAGTTCAGGCCAAATCTACCTCTTCACCACCAGTGACCCAGACAAAGGCCAGGGACAGGGGAATAATCAGCAAGAGTCAGGAAAGAAGACTGGGACAAGGAAACTCAGTCAGGATGCCATTGCTTTACCCACCTGCCCCAAGGGCATCATGTTGAGGGATTTCCTGGGAAATCAGAATGCCTCAGTGTCTGGGTGTTTATAGTTGCAGAACCATACTTCAACTAGACACCAGCACAGAATATCAGACCTAGAAAGGACCTTAGAAATTATCCATGTCAGCCCCCTCATTTTACAGAGAGGGAAATTGAGGCCCAAAGAGAGAGGACTTTTCCAAAGTCATATTGTTAGAACCAGAACCCAGGTCTTCTGCCTCCCAATCCAGGACTTTTGCTTTAACTAGATGAAAAATTGTAGGATGCTTCCATTCCTCCCTCCTTCTGCCTCCAACCTATCCTTCTAGGCTAAGGATGTATTATACTCCCTGGTATATTCTGTGTTTTAGATAAATTGGCCTATCTGCTGTTGACTCTACATGACATTCCAACTCTCACCTCCGTCACTTTTTACAGGCTGCTCCCTATGCCTAGAATGCTGTCCCTCATCACCTTTGACTCAAACCCCCAGCTCCCTTCAAGGCATGTATCACCTCTTACAAGTGGCCTTTCTGTACTCCTCACGTCAGCGCTCCCCCAGCCTGAGATTAGTTTATATTTGCTTAGGATCATAGATGTAGAGCCAGAACGGATTTGGGAGTCCATCTGGTTCAACCCTGTTATCTTACAGATGAGAAGACTGGGGCCCTAGTAGGCTAAGTGACCTGCCCACCATCACACAGGTAGTGTCAGAGGTAAAATTTGAATCCAGGTCTTCTGAATCCAAAATCAGTGTTCTTTCTCCTGTATTGTGGTGAGTATTGTGCTTCCTTTAGTAAAATGTAATCTCTGTGAGTGTAGGGACTATTTTCCTTTTATCCTTTGGTTGCTAGAGCTTAGCACAGTGCCTGGCGCTGCATGTAAAGTTGTCTTTGAGCAAAGATACTGGAGTGGTTTTGCCATTTCTTTCTGGAGCTCATTTTACAGATGAGGAAACTGAGGCAAACAGGGCTAAGCAATTTTTCCAGGGTCACACATCTAGTAAGTGACTGAGACTGGAGTTGAACTCAGGACAATGAGTCTTCTTGATTCGAAGCCCAATGCTCTATCCACTTCGCCACCTAGCTGCCCTTAGGTGCCCCTTGTGACTTAAGGTCATATGACTGTGTGCTTAGACCTTAAGCCTAAGGGCTCTTAGGTTCCATTAAGTACAACCCCCTCATTTTATAGATAAGGGAATTTGAGACAAGCAGAGATTAAGTGACTTACCTAGGATCACACAGCTAGTAAGTGTCTAAAGAAAGTAGAATTAGAACCTGGTCTTCCTGACTTCAAGTCTAAAGCTCTAAGCTTTATAAATGTTTATTGAATTGAATTGAATGAGAACACAAAAGCTTTGGAATTGGCTTGAGGGAAAAATCTTGAATCTGGGGAGAGACTTTGATTTCATTGACAGTGAGTATGGAAATGCAAGATGACTCATTCCACAAACATTTAATAGCTGGTATTTATAAAGTGCTTTCATGTGATTTACAAATATTATCTCAACTTGTCCTCACAACTATTCCAGGAGGGAGACGCTATCATTATCTCCTTTTACAGAAGAGGAAATTGAAGCACAGG